AAAAGGGTTATGTGCGTGACAGTGTATTCTGTATTTCGGAAATCTCTCATTGGTAGCACCTCAGTTGTCTATATGAGAAGTAAAGTCTGCAGCGGAGTGGTTAATTGATTAAAGGAACAAATGACGCATAAAAGCGTAATAGTTTTAAATCAAGTTTTTATTCTTTATCGAGTCAGGGAAAAGCATTATCAGTTTAAGTTCTGTTGACGCGACTGTATCTTTGAAAGATTTTTGAGATTTAGTTAAAGGTTCTGTCTTCTGGATTTTCACAAATGGATTTTTCATAAACACAATCATTCCGGAAAGTCCTTCCAAATGCTGAACAAAATTAGAATCGTTTTAGTAACTCGTTCGATCAGCTTCCGAACCACCCCATTACCCATTCCCTCACTACATTTCTAAAATTTTACTTGCTGAGCAACCAACTCCTGTCTTAAATGGCTGTTTTTCTCTTGTTCGGAACTTCAACTCGTTGATAAAAAATGTGGTGATAAACAGAAAGCATGTCGGGAATATTGAGCAAACTAATTTTCGCTGCTGGTGATGCAAAATATATTCCTACAACGTAGAAATAAGAAGTTAGCACGTCTTCTCTGACGCTCACCATTTCCTTCCGGCTTTCTGTTGTGAAGGTTTTCATCCAAGACAGCAACTGAAGCTAGAATGGAACGACGGAAAAACCCTTGTGATTAAGGTTGGAGGAAGGAGCATAATAAAGAAACCTGCTAACTTTTGCTTTATGCCTCTATTAACGTTGTAATTTAGTTTACTGTTTCAAAGCGTTCTTTCTATGATAACTAAGAAGGATTTTGAGATTGAAATGGTTTGATGTAACCATCTCGTTTGACAGCGAAACGATACGTTTTCTAAAATTTTATGATTTTGATCTTCTGGACAGATTAATACTCGAACAATTTCCCAACCACAGAAACTATGTTTTTAAACATTGTGAGGAGGTTGTGAAATAATAAGCCGGTCTTCAATTACTCTCACAATTTTTTCTGTTAAGAAGCTTTTCCTTTGGGAAGTTTTGAGCGGTCACCTCAAAAAAACGTTTGGGTTTCGAAAGCTATACTTACTTCTAAACAGTTCTATGTTCGCGGCTTAAGTGCAGCAAAAATGTGGTGTTCAGTTTTGCATCCTTGTTTTTGGTTGTGCAAAGTTGGATTTTTTGTGTCATTCTAAGCTTTTACTCTTTTTATTTTGGTGAATATATTAATAACTCTTTCATTTTGAAACGTTCCTAATTTATCTATTTTGTCTTTTTCTGCTGCTCTTTTGT